ATCTTCTATGCATATTTTGCTGTGTATCTGCATGAAAACATTTGCTTTTCACTGTTACTAGAGATTGTAAAAAATTTTGACATACAAACTGACACATGGGTGCAAATCATTTCACAAGATGAAATTTACATGTTAGGAAATAGACACACATATGGGAATATTTTGCACAAGTGCATGTGAAGACTGGAAATAATTCAAGGCTTTGTTTACTATGTTGGTTGACATCACATCAGAATTAGCAGACTATCCAAGACTTAGGAAGGGTATTAATTAAATGGTTTGTTTAATAGAAGCAATGTCATATGTATCAAAGATGGTTAAAACTGTGATTAAGACCAAAGTTAATTAATTTTTGTTTGCTTTCTTAACTACAAAATTTTGAAAGAGCAAATGTTGTTATTGTTGTTGTTATTGTTGTAGAATTTAACACCATTTTTCAGCACAAGAAAGGCTATACATGTCAGCCAGTATAAATGGTTAAGGAAGAACCTGGGAAAACCCTGGAAAAAACAGGACATACGATTAATAACTGGCAAGCTTTCTCACATACCCACACTGGCCAAGCCCAAGACTTGAACCCACACAGACAAAGGTGAGATGGGAGTGATCTGTAATGGTGAGCACTTTAGACAAGGTACAGGATATTCAGATTGACCATTTAAACTAGGGTCAAAATAAAAGAGTGGTTTGTTACAATGCCATGCTGTCAAATTTGCAGCTTATTAGAGATAATCAAAATTATTACAGAGCCTTCTAAATGCTAAATAGGGTTTCAGTGATAGACTGCAACCCAAAGTTGCAAACATGATATTGGTCAAAGAGAAAAAAAGAAAGATAAATTAAATCATGGAAGAAATTAAATCACTCCCATCATTCCATGTCACTCTTGGCTTACCTAAGAAGCAATAAGAGATATACAAGCAGTAATTATACAGTAGAACATGGAAAAAGATTTGTGAACAAATGAATTAAGTCACATTGATATTTAAATATTTTTCCAATTTATTATTCCTGTTTGTACAGGAAAAAGATTTTATAGGTGAAAATTTTGACAAAATCATTCTCCATTGACTTGATTTCTTTTTTTGACCAACAACAACAGCTATAGAATATGAACACTATAATTACTGAGTTTGTGAAGATTCAATGCACAGTGTCTTAGCAATTCTTTATAACAATATGCATCATTCAAAACAATTGTAATTTTCAATTCGATTTGTTTTTTAAAAACGAAGGAGAAAAAAGATTATGTGGGTTAGTTATATATGATAACGACAGTCTTTTGAGTTTCTTCTATTTCCTAAAATTATGTTTTAGCATATAAGCACAATTGTCTCTACTTATGTGAGTTCATTATTCTACAGCTGTTTCACCTGTACACAGGTATCAGGAGAGGTAATGCCTACTCCAACTTAAGTTAACAATTTTGCACACGTTGCAAATTATGCAACATATTTTAATAGGAAAAATTTATACGAGAATCGTAAGTGCCAATGATTAAAAAATGTTAAAACAAATTCCTCCAAATATGACCTTCAATCTTCATATTATTTAACTCCAGGACACAGAAAGGTCAAATAAAACTACATGATACATTTTTCAAATATATTTACATCAATTATTTGCTGTTCAGACAGTACAAATTCAAAGACAAATGGATCGTGTTTTTCTGCAAAAGAAACTATGCTGAGTGCTAAAAGTCAAATACAAAATCGTAAATTAAATTTCTGTGGCTTATTAAAGAAACCTGAACAATCATGCAGCTATTAATTTACTGAACTGAAAACTACAGTAAATAATAATAAATAACAAAAACCATCCTGGTCAGATCATACATATAGTCCAAACACTGACTGAATCAATCATATGACAAAACATTTTACATATTCTGACATTGATTATAGTGTACTCAATTAGTCCTGACACTTTAATACTGCCAACATTATTGCACTGGTTCACAATTGATAATTGTACGATACTAAACACACCAAATATGGTTGAAGTAGTATGCAGCATGTGATATGATGTGTGATTTTAACGTAGCTTTAACAATTTTTCAGCATTAAGAGGTTAGTTTTAGGACTGGTCAGCCTGGTGTCAGGATAATGTGACTGGGTAGGACATGATGCTACATGTCTGCGGCATTATGCACTGGTGCTAGACATCACTATAAACTGCCACACTGCAGACATCATATCGATATGACAGAAAAAATTGTTAAATCCATGTTAAAAATCTAAATAACACACTGGTTAATGGGTAGTCATGGTAAGGGAGGTAATTAGTTAATAGTTTCTAGTTTCTTCCATTTATCTAAATGGTAATAGAGACAAGAAAGAAAGACATTTGAGTCTTTAGGGAGGGCAAGAATTAGTAGAGCTTTTGTCCAAACAACAATGTAATGTGGTGTTATCAACTGAGAAATGTCCACAAAACTCACACTAAAAATTCAATTCTGTACAAGAAAACTTAATCAGCTTAATTTGTAATCTAAATTGATTACTTTACCAACCTACCATATATACTTACTTATAATTTACCTATAATTTGTGCCCAACAAGCAGACTAGTGTCTATATTGTTTGTTTTACTGCTTCTATCGAGATCTGCTGGTGCATTATGCGATGACAGATCTGGGTCTGTGCAGTTTGCAGTTGCCAACTTATAAGTGAGTACATACGGTAGAAGTATTTTACACTTTCTTAGTCTCAGGAGTCTACTGCTAAATAATCATATACGACATGGTTGTTTGTACTAAATGCTACAAGATCATCGTTTGTTTTGTATTACATGAAATAATTTATGCATTAACTCAAAACTTTTTATACAAATTTAAATATACATTTAATCTATTTGTACCTTTTTACAAAATTTAATACATGATAGTTAACTTCAGAATTTCATACATAAGAAAACAGGGACGGAATATTTTCAAGTGCTTCAGATAATTCATCAAACACCCAACAACAGTATGGAGGTTTCTGTTATTAGTATTGTGTTATTAGTATTGTAACTTGTGCAAATATTCTGTTAAAAAGGTCGTTCACATTAAATCAACTTGATCCAATATATATATATATATATACACACACACACATACATACATACATACATACATACATACATACATACATACATACATACATACATACAGTCAAACCCAGTAATCTTGATTAAATCAGTGGTGTCAAAAAATTGTCAACATGACCAGGTCCTGAGATATCAGAGTTTAGTTGATAAATCTACTGCAGAACAATGATTATGCATGTGAAGTACCAAAACTGAGGAGTTTTATTTCTAAAAGAAATTTGGCATTTCTAATGCAAAATAAAAAAATATTTCAGTCATGCCTGGTATGAGAAAAAAAAGGAAGATTGGAGGTCTTTTAAATGAAATTAAGTAACAAGTCACATATTTTTGCAAGAAGTTACTGCAACAATGTCAGTGGTTTAAAGATTTCATTTCCCTGTGAATAGACTCATCATACCTTGGTCACCTAAGCAAGACAATGATTTTCTCATGCTATCCAAAATCTAGGCTAACTGATGTACATGTACATGTTGGACTATACTTACTTTTTCTCATGCTATCTAAAATATAGGCCAACTGATGTACATGTACATGTTGGACTCCTACTTATTTTATTAAAAGTGTTTTCTTTTGTTAAAATAGACTTGTTACTAGCAGCAAAATGTAACTGAACAATATTGTAGTGAAAATTTCATTTTGTGACCATCAGAGGTACCTTTACACCAGTATATACCGTTTTTTACTGAAAAATTTTGCTTCTGGACCGAGGCTGACAGTATTCATGTACCGACAAACTGTAAAATGTGTTTCAGGTCTTTAAAGTTAACTATCTCAACATCCAATTCTTGATGAAGCCAACTTATTCCATTCATACAGTTAGAAAACAACTTATTCCATCCATACAGTTGTAGTCCCCTATCCCTCCTGACTTTGATCAGTGATCATCGGCAAGAACACAGCACCAGGATGAGAGTCAGCTATTCTCTTTGATGGATTACAAGACTAATGAAAGCACTCTTTCTTCTGTTTCAAATTTTTACCCTATCAGTCGCCTTCTGCTTTATTCCATTTGTGTTGAAGAATATGTAATCATGGGACATTGATAACCATTTTCATTAAAAAAAATACTGGGCACTATACTCTTTCTTCAATACTGTTGGTGCTTTAATTTACTCTTTTTCAAAACAAATTAATAACTAAGGGGGGGCTTATTTTGGAGTTTTGTGGGTTTTTGTTTAAAGATTATTGTAAGTCACGTAATCTAGTATCTTACTTAATGTCAAAATTCACTTGCGAATCCAGTGAAGCTAGGAGACTGTTTTGGTTTAATTGGGTCTGGAGGTCATCTACACCACAACCACACGACTCCTTATATTTAAGTCAAAGATCACTCTAATTTCATGACAAGCAATCATCATGAGGCAGCTCTCAGAGTATGCTGAGCATATAAACCGCATAAGTCAGATATCAACCAACACTTTGAATTTATAATTGTCAGAGCTTAGTCAACATGGTTACTGACCATGAGGAAGGGAGTCCAGTAGGTGCTAGTACCGTCCTTGCTGTGGGCTTGGCTGGGTGAACAAATCTATCAGTAAAATCCCAGTCATAATGTTTACATAGCCTTATGCCCAGTGAGACATATAGATCTATCACTAACATCCCTTTAATTGTATGCAGTCATAGGCAAGTTACGATGGACAGATCCATACAGTTAGATGAAACCACAGAACTGTTGAGATGGATCCATCACTAAGATCCTCATAACTGATGTGATGTGATTATGATTTTTAACGTAGCCATTAACAATTTTTCAGTCATATTGCTACGATGTCTCCAGTGTGATAGTTTATAGTGATGTCCCACCCAGTCACATTACCCTGACACCAGGCCCAACAGTCCTAACATTAACCTGTTAATGTTGAGCGCCAAGCAAGGCAGCTGTTAATACCATTTATGTAATCTTTGGTATGACTCAACTGGGAATCGAACCCACGATCTCCAACATCCAAGGCGGTTGCTCTAACCACTAAGCCAGATGGCAATACAGTAGCATAAGATAGATCAGTTAAAAACCCAGGCCTAAAGTCATTGCTTGGATATGGAGAAGGGAGTACTTATGCCATCTGGACTGCCTAAAAATGGGGAGGACACTCCTACAAAAAAAAAATGTGCATCTCTGTCACCCTCTTTCTTTGCTTTGGTTGGTTTTGTAAACCAGCGTCACATTCTCAGACCATATGGTATTGATGAAGTACATTTTATACATGCAAGGCACGACTCATGTGTGTCTTTCTCGGCCTTGAAAATGTATTTATTACACTTTGTCAATAGATTTCACTTAAATGACAAGATACAACAAAACATAACAAATATGTATAAATTAATGATGCAGCATGCTAACAAGTTGCTAAAAGAACACCTTTTACTAACCAGGTTTGCAAGTAATAAACTGTGAATAACAATATGCATTAACAATTGTCTATTAAACTATGTGGTCTAAAATTGCCCAAGTCTGAGAAAGTGAAAAAATTTCACAAAATATATGTAAAATTCAAAGAATATTTAACACCTGTACAGGTGTAATTATTAATCCAAGTAAATCCAAACTTCTGTTTGGATGGATTGAATTTAATAGATTTTGCTTGGATTGATGTGTTTCATATCATGTTCTACAGAAGCAATGTTTAGAAACTGGTAACATCTAGTAAATGAGGAGATAAATGGAAAGAGTTATTGCCCTTTGATGATTGATATCTCTAGCAAAGGCAAATTTTCATCTTTAGTAGGGATGCAGGATGCAGCATGCTTATATCGCAAACGTTATTGTGATAAGGTAATGTATTCAGAGTGCTGAGAGTGATAATCACAGATGCAAAGATGAAATCCAGAAAAAAAAAGTAAACTGAAAATTCCTATTAGCAACACCACACTATTATCTAATATGTGTAGAAAGTTTTAAATAGCCATCTATTTTTGGAGAAATGAATGTGTGAATGATTTATGGAATTATGAAACTGACAGAAACTCTTAAAATACTGAAACTTAAGAATTGTAAATGACAAAAAATGCACACTATATATAACATGTACCAAAATTTTGCAAAGATTTTGTTCTGGACATACAAGTATGAATACTGGATAGATGAATGGATACATTAACATAAAATAAAACCTAATGAAACTGAAAAGTGAATAGGAAAAGGAAATCTAGACGAGACCATTAGTTTATTAATGAATATCATTTAGATATTAGATTTGTGTTATACAATCAAAAATATGATAGACAGTGGTTTGATGATAGGACAAAAATGTTAATTGAAACTAAAGACCTTCAAATAATAAAAAAGGCAAACTTACTCCATGTCTAAAATTCTGGAGTGTTTCCCCAGAAACAATAGTGCAGATGATGAATGAACAAACAGGTCAAAACATAAAAAATACTGAACCTAAAGAACAGTGATATATATACATCTAGATCATTATCAAATATTTAAACCAAGTTTCATAGAGATACTTTGAACTCTTTTGAAGCTATTTCCAGAAACAAAATGTGATAGATGGACTGATGGACAAAAAGAAATCATTGCATGAAATTTTCTTTCTCTATAATATAATGAAAAAAAAAACAGTGAATACCTATTCAGAACATGCAATAAAGAATATTTTATCAACAAGACAATATTTTACTGGGAAACGAAATATTGATTGATTTTAGAAACTGCTTATTTATAATGAATCTATTTCAACTGGCACAACCCCTACTCCCACTCCACCTTCATGTGCACACATTGAGGCTATAAAGTTCCAGTTATCTGTTTCAGGATCATACATTTCCACTGAACTAAGATTGCTCACTCCATCATAGCCACCAATTGCATACAATTTTCCGTAAGTTGCAACCAAAGCAACTCTGCTCCTTTTCACATTCATTGGCTTCACATACATCCATGTATTGGTTGCTGGGTCATAACGCTCAACATTGCGCAAGAAAACTGACCCGTCATACCCTCCAGCTGCATACAAATGACCATTCAATGCTGCAACTCCAAGACGACATCGCTTCGACAGCATTGGTGCCAGGTGACGCCAGTTATTAGTAGAAACATTGTATGATTCAACCTGCAATGGAGATATTAAAATTTATAGAATAATTGTTGAGTTTCATTGATCATTTAAGTATTAAAAATGGCTAGTTTCAAAAGGAATTGCTATTCAAAAGCCTAGCAAACACAACTGCACAAAAATAAATTATAGTTAGAATACAGTGTTTTTCCAAATGAAATCAAAATGTAATCAGTCACTGCCTCATCACAATGATATATACTGAGTAAATAGGATCATGACCATCACCATATATACTTGCTTATAAGTTGAGTCCAAATGCAAACAACAGAAATAAGGGTCTATTTGTTTGTTCTACTCTTAACAGACTAATTAGACTCTAATCTGCCTGCTCATTATGAACTAGTAGATCGGTCTGTGCAGTTTGCAGTTAGACTTGACTTGTAAGCAAGCATCAATCCGATTAAAATCAGATCTTCACAGTCCTACATGAATATCTGATTATGACTGCTTAAGAATCATGTTCTGGTTGTTGTTGTTGTTCTGGGGCTTAACACCATTTTTCAGCACATAATAGGCTATACATGGTGGTCAAGCAGCAGGGAGGGTGAACCCTACAAAATTTTTGCTTGTGAAATTAACCTGAATAAGGGTTCCTACAGAGGCTGAAAAAAAAGGGTCAATAACCCTAAACCAAAATATCTAACTTTTTATATTACCGTACGGACGGTTATAAACCACATAATAAACCACATGAGGTTAGCTCAGTTTTGTTATACTATTATTGACTTTTTTTATCCTGATTTTATTGAACTATTTTTTACGTTAAAAACTTGAGCAAAATTTTGTAGAGGTTCACCCTCCCTGCTGCTACTGACTTTGTCACCTGACTTTGTCAGGGCATTAATATCGGGACTTTTAACAATAGATTTGGGTTTTTAAACAGATATACAGTTCATAAACAGATGGTCCTGACATTGTCAGGGGGAACTAACCAAATATTTTATCCAGACCAATCTAGGATCGTATATATAAATTAATATATAACATCTCCCCGCACAGGTCCACAATATTACCATCTTGATTTGTGAGTTTGAAATTCATTCTTGACAATAATGGATTATGTACACGCAGGTAGACTTGATTTATTGGCTCAGATACAATCAGCCAGCCCGGAGGGGATTGGATACTAGATGAATATAATATATACCCCTGCTGAGCCTGATTAGACTTAGAGAGGTCAAAATGGTAGCTATTATCAATTATATCGCAAACTAAATTCAGTGCGATGGTGGATGTTATATTAACAATATTAGGTGAGATATGACGACCTGTTCCATATGGATCATTATTATATTTGAGAATTGCTGGGGGTGGAATTAATTTTTTCCAGGAATTACATATTCTTCTAAAGTGTTCATCAATAAGATCACTAACTGATTTTTTTAGCTCCTCGGAGTCAAATCCGGGTATTATAAATGTTGGTAGCTGTTCTTCTGTGATTCCGTAATATTTCATAAATACTGTTTCAAATAATCGCTTATGACTTACATGTTGGATTTGGTCATCTTCATTAACTATATAAGAGCTAGAAGATCTATCTGCCGGCACATTTATTATTTTCTCTCTGTCAACAATAGCCTTATTTACAGATTCTAAGTCTGGTACAACTTGATTTAGATGTTGTATTGTTTCAATTATTTGATTTTTTAAATCATCGTTATAAAAAGTATTGATGCTGGAAAGCAAATTTTTAAGATTATTAAACATGTGTTCGTGTTCAGATTTAATCGGTCTTGATAATGAGTTAATTTGCTCAACATCAAGTGTCGATATTCTTGCTAAACCACTCCTACTTTGAATGAAACTTATAAAAGAAGTATGATGTATATAATTATGATAAGCACTTGCTGTAGTGCTCTCCATAAATGGAACTTTGTTTCTATATTCTGGAAGTTGTATAAATTTCTTAACATCTATATTGAAGTCGGATCTCTGTGGTTCTGGTGGAACTTGATAATCTGGCGCGACTTCAGGCCAACCTAGTACTGATCTAATCGAACTCTGATAAATATCTACAGCATAATCAGGAGAATTTATTTCAATCACTGACGAATGTTGGTTCGTAAACAGTAATTGCTATTTTAGACTCTTTCCCTGTTAAAGATTTAATTCTACGCTGGAATTCCTCATTAATCTGTTCTAACTAATAACTGCCAGTTGGAATACTAACAACTTGCCAATCGGGAGTTCCATCAGATTTATTTTTATTTGCGAATACTAATGAATTATTTGGTTGTTGTCCACCAAATGGTTTTGATCTAATATTAGGCCAGCTATAATAAATACGTAACTGAGCTAATGCTGTCTCTTTTACTGGAATTGCATTTGGAAAGTTAACGCTAAATTCAGGATTGGTCGAACTTATCGATATCATAGTAGTTTTTGATGGAGTTGTATTAGCGACGATCTGCTGTAACAACTCTCTCGACTCAGTTGCTGACATTATTGTTATTATTATTGTTTAATTCTCCATTTATTTTGTCAGCAGAATCACTAACAATTTTGAATGCTTCATCGTAGGTTTTAATTATCGTTACAAACTCCTCATCAGATATTTTACCATCACTGAGATATGTGGAAATATATCCAGATAGTTTAGAGTATGTTGTTGTTGCTGTGTGTAATTTTATCATATACTCGCGCAATTTATCATTCGTACATGTAGTTATCTTTTTAGCAATAATATTAAAATTACCTGCTATAGTCGTTGAAGTTGAAACAATAATTGTTATAATTGCTGGAGCTGTCATCGTTAATGTTGATAATATTAATCCGGATCCAGCAACAATAGCAGAAACTGAATACACAATTATATCAATAACGACCATATGTCTACGATATTTTTTATTTTTATTGTATAATGGTCGATGATATTTTTTAGTTTGGTCAGGCATTCATATGCTTGATTATATCTGT